CGAGCAAAACTGTAGCAATAGTTTTTTTTTTTTTCTCTCTTTGAATACCCTTTAATTATTAATCGGTAGGTGAGATTAGGGAGATCAAGGTGTTGGGTAAACTTATGTGAGTATCATAACCTTTTTATATATTAAATATTGAGAGAATATATATATGGATATAGAACAATATTTGATGTCTAATGAAAGACATTTCTTTGTTATGGTTGTCCATAAAATAATCAAGACTTTCTTCAAATATTATCTAATATCAAGCTTAAGATATCCTGTAGTTGGGTTAACTTATATGAATATCAACTCCAGTTATGATGTAAAGAAGCAAAATATATGGATATAGAATTTTATAAGATATAGTAGAAAGAAAGATATTTCTTTGTAATGTTTATCAGCAAGAGAATCAAGACGTGCTCTAAGCATCTAGTTTAGCTTCTGCATACCTTGAATATGTACAAACTCTATATGAATATATTAATATAAGTTGTAGTAACAGTAAGTGAATATTACAAAGAACTCCTAAATATTCGTATAATATTCCATTCTTAATACCTCATAATAATCTCTATAACTATAACTATAGATCTATAGCCCCGCTCTTTGAACAAAGCTCACTCAATTCATTAGAGGGTATCTTCTAGTCCCTTCATGTTGTTTCACTTAATTCACTCTTACTTTTGTTACTTGCTTTCATATTTTTTGCTTGTTTGTAGTTTTTTTTTCCAGTTGCTTTTCCATTTCCTGGCAAGGGGCTAAGACGGCAACGAGGTCGAGGGCGACAAATCAAAGCGTAACAAAGGGCAACGACGCAACGCAACGCGGCGGCAAGTTGCAATGCAGAAATTTGACAATTTATTATGTGCCCTTCGACTTGCCGCTGGCTGCTGCGGAAATGTTAAATATTTGTTATTGCAGTCTAATGTTTTCCTGTTGATCTAAGACAAAAATCGTTGCTGCCAGTGAAAACTATTAGCCGACTTCATAAATCTTCGAGCCATATGAAAAAGCCGCACACACACAGAGAGACAAACACAGATGCAAACACACACATACACATGCATAGCCATGCATAGATAGAGAGTGCAACCACAACAGCTTCGTCGGTTTTGCCACACCCACTACTTTAGCAGTGGCAACCGCAACATGGGCCGCACGCACGCCCAGACATGTCACAATTATGACAATTTCTGATGCATAACGTTGCATAGCGCTTTTAATGCAATAAACCGGCGGCAGCAGCAGCAGCAGCGTCATTAACACTGACAGCCACTGACTGGGGCAGGGCTGGCGGGACAAAAGTGGGCGGATGTGTGCATATGTGGGCGTGTGAGGGTGTGGGCGTGTGGGAGTGTGGGAGGGACGGCTGCTTTTGTCGTGCACTAATTGTCTGGCTGTGGCCAAAATGTGCAGCGCATGCAATGCTCCAGTTCAGGTGTGTGTCAGTTGGTCGCCCCGCACTTGCCGCAAAAACACTTTGCAGGCAATTGTCAGTCGGCAAGTGCCGGCTGCAGGCAGGTGTGGACTGTAGGTGCTGCAGGTGGTTGCTTGGTGGTGGGGGCGGTGATGGCCTCGCTTTTAACAGCTGACAATGACAAGCATTGCCAATGTTTTGCCATTAAGTAAGTGAGCAAAACGCTCCAGCAGCTCGCCTAGGCAGCTCCGTCAGTTGCGGTTGCTTCAGGCATTTGCCTTTGACTTTGGAGCGGCTCAGTTTGTGACGGGCTGGCAGCGGAGTCCGTGGCGGCTGACGGAAATCAATTAGCAATAAAATTGCCAAATCAAACATCAAGTGTCCTTTGGGAATATGCAATATCAGCAGCTGGCAGCGGAGCAGCAGCAGCAGCAGCAACAACAACAACAACATCCGCTGTTGTCAGCCATTTCCGGAAATAATTATGCGTAAGCAAAATGACAGCACGAAATTTATGCGGCGCTCGCTGTGACACAACAAAAGCAAATGATATCCGCCTTACCTGGCCTGCATGTTCGTGTGTGTGTGTGTGTGTGTGTGTGCTGAGTGCTGTTTGTGTGCTGTTTGTTTATGTTGACTCGCAATTTGTTGCACTTACCCAAACTCAGGCAGTGATTTGAATTCTTGCAGTGATACACAGCGCGCCCATTACCCCTGGCACCACCAGCACCACCAACAGCAACAGCTCTATCAGAATCCCTATCTGCATTATGGACGACCATTGCTGGCCGCTGCGAGCAACCACAACGGTGCTTATGCCAGCACAGGCGGCGGCCACTCGGGCTATGGGTAAGTAATCCGCATCCCCCTCTGCGTCGCGTGGTGCTAATGCAGCTTTATATTAACAGCATGGAGCCATCGGTGGAGTATGAGGTGCAACAAACGCCCCCCTCTGGCAGCTACTCCTCTTACCATCCGAGCGGTGGCAGTGCGCCCGCGCATCCTCCGCCACTCTCGCAGCATCCACCGCACCCACCGCACCCACCATATCCGCCTCCATACCATGCGCCCAAATCGCCGCCAACAACGCCGCCCACAAAGAAGAAGAAGAGTGGCAGCTCTGTAATGTCGGCGCTGACGTTGCTCTCGTTCTTCTTTTTCGTGAATATGCTGCAGAGCTGCATCAAGGAGCACATCTCGGATATCAACCCCACCGTGATGGTGCTCACATCGGTCGGCAGTCGCAATCGCTTCAATAAATTAGCTGAAATGAACTCACGCGAACAAACCTCATCGCCAGCATCCACAACGGCATCAGAGTCGGCGTCATCTTGGCAGCAGCAGCAGCAGCAGCAGCAGCAGCCACAGCAACAGCAACCGCTACTGGTGCCGGCATCCAGTTCCGCCGTGTTACCAGTCATTGTTACGCCAGCTGTGACGCTGCATACGCCGTATAGTAGTGGTCTGGTGACTAATAAGCCAGCTTCGCATACACATTCGTATCAGCAATCGCATCAACAACAACATTATCATCAGAATCATCAGCAGCAGCTGCAGCATCAGCAGCATGAGCAACAACAACAACCATATCACGATGATGCTGATTATAATAACGGACATCGCACGCCCTCATCCGCCGCTGATTTCTATCCTAATCGCACATACATTGACCAGTCGCTGCGGCCCGACTCCCCCAACTCCAACTCCTACAGCAATTCGAATTCCAACTCTGATTCGTACTCGGACTCCGACTTTGACTATTATCAGCATCACTATTATCCAGAAAGGGAGCGACATCGGCATCATTACATGGACTATGCGTGGTCCTCTGGCAGCGTGCATTCGCGTCCACATTTACATCCGCAACCGCATCCGCATCCGCAGTCGTATTCGCATGCAGCTGGTAACAAACGTTACTCATCTTCAGCTTCGTTGGGCGCTCAGTCGGGCGTGAGCTCTTACTCGGATAATGCGCGCTACAGGCAAACCAATGATGATGTTGATGATGATGCCGACGACGCTGATTATGATCAACAGCGACGACATCATTATGAAAATGCTAATGCTGACCGTAGTCCACAGCGACGCGCCAGCGATTCTTTCTACACACGCAATAATGGAAAATGAGCAAAAATATAAGGAACTAATTTACTGTATTTCATTTCTATACAAATTGTATAAATGAATTTTGAAATTGAGAAATAAAAGCTTGTTAATTACAACCACATTCTGTTTAAATTAGCGCCGAAAAGTATGCAGCGAAAATAGTTCGGATTGGCAGATGTGTAAGGCAGGTATTCCAAACATATAAATAAATCTGAGAATATTTAAAGATATATAATCATATTGTAATATTTGAATTATCTAATACAATGTCATATCCATCAACTGAAATAATTAAATTTAAATTTATATATTTTTTATTTTATTTATTTATTTTTATATAAATAAATATTTCTGTACATAAAAATAATAATTATTATATAAGTAAATCTAAGAATATATAAAAATACATAATAATATTATAATAGCTGAATTAGTAAGACTATCTAATATATTTTCATATCTATTGTATATACTAAAATAATCAAATTTAAATTTTTATAAATAAACATTTCTGTACATAAAAATTAAAGAATTTTCTGAGCAATAGTTTGATAAAAAATGTAAATGGTTTTTACATTTTGAACATTTTCTACATTTTGTTGTCCTAATTAAAATGAAGTAAAGTGCGGCTAAAAAGAAGCGCCGGAACAATGCAATGTTAAAGTCGTAATGAAAATGAATGCTAATTTGTTGCGCAACAAATTAAATGTGGCAAGCTCTCTGAACTGGGAGCTAAGACTTTATTTTATTGCCTGCCACAACTAAGTTGCCACAGACACCGTCGCAGCCACAGCCACAGCCACAGCCACAGCTAGAGCCACAGGCACAGACACGGACAGCGGCGCTTTACCTTTTGCAGCTTGCAGCTTTTCTAATGCACGAGCTGTTGCACTTACAGCGTTTGCTTATTTCCTTATTTATGGCATTTCAGTTCGCGAATGGCAATATAATTATTTCTAATGAGATCAGGAGAGAGGACATGAACACTTTAATTAACACATTTCGCGCACTTTAAAATGCAGCACACACATACACACACACACACACACACACACACACGCACAACAGACATGCAAGCACACACACACACACACGTACTCACACGTGCACACAAACAATGCTATCAATTTCAACAACTTTGATTAAACGTCATTTACAGTTGCCACAAGCGGCGGCAGCTGAGATTTGGAGTTGAGTGCTGCAGCACGCAATGGCCGTAGATGTAGCTGAGACTTATTGTTGTTGTTGTTGTTGCTGCTGCTGCGGCTGCTTCATTTGCAATTAAATGCATGATAAAAAGCCATTGCAACTGGAACTCCAACTGCAGTTGCAGTTGCAGTTGCAGCTGCAGCTGCCGTTGCATTTCGGCATCGACTGCACTCGCCTCGCCACTCAAAAGCGTAATTTAAAATTCTCTTGGCTGCCATTTGGACCGTGGAGCAGCAGCCCCAACGACGACCCACCAGCTTGCCTTTCTTTCGGCACTGATATGCCTGTTGGAAAGCTGGCGCTGGCGCTGGCGCTGGCGCTGCCGACACGCGCCGTGACTGCTGCTGCCGGAGTCCGAGTACCGCTGCGGTTGCACACGGTGCGTATGAGTTATGCCACGACTGCGTGGCAGCCAGCATAAAATGAAGTTAATATAAATTGTACTTTAAAGCGCAGCCCATTCGCATACGTGTGCGTCTTACGCCCATATATTTGAATAAATTTATTACTTTAAGTGCAAACTGGCAGCTAATGCGTGATTTTCGGACTCTTAACGAGGTCAACGGCATCGCAGCACAGACTCGAGACTTGAGCAAAGATACGGCTGCTGCCTGGGCGTAACTCAATTAGCTGCAATGCATTTTAAATAGAAATGAAGACGAGCTACGAATGTGATTTATATAAATAAGAATATTCAGGTAATTGCTAATAATTTAATTTGTCTGTCTTTGTCATTCATGCTAGAAAACCAAATAAAAGGTATCTCAAGTTGAATAACTTCATTTCAAGTGGTACTCAAAATGTGTCAATTTGTTGCAATTCAATGGAAAACTGTGAAGTGCTTAATACACCTATATGAACCAAGAACCACTCGACTTATGTGAAATGAAAGTTATTTTTATTTTAGGCCATATTCAAATATCAGGACAGATGAATTGAAAGAAACCGATTATATTCCATTATTTCTTAGATATTGACGCAATGTCTAACTGCAATGTATTCAAGTTTAGCGAATGGCTTTTTATTGAATGTAATTTATTCATCGACAGGTATCAGAGTTTGAAACTCCTTCACTCAAAACGAACCGTCCTGGAATTTCGTTGCCAATAAATATTATTTGAATATTTGTATCCCATATTAAATACACTCACATGGAGAATCATTATTTAAAGAATCTATTTAATTCACATGTGTGTGACAAAAGGCAAGATCCACTCCTCTGTTGATCCCAGTTGGACTGGTGGCGTCGACGATAAATAACAAGACCGGCTTGTAAGTTCCTCGTGTTTATTTGTAGGAAGATAACTGTGTTTTTCGTATGATATAGAGTGTCAATACCGGCTGAGGAAAGGGGGTGAGGCACGAAGTACTCAGCGGTACGCTAAGTATCGAGAACCACTAAGAGAACTGGTCTTGAAGTTATGCTATTAACATATTAACATAATACTGCTAATAGCATAGTATAGCGTGTCGCGAGAGCAGCGATTCCTGTTTATGGGATCTGGCATTAACAATCCCAATAAAGTATACATTTTATTTACCCCTTATAAGCGAACAATTCATATTCATATTCTGCATTCTGCATTCATATATTCATATACATATCATTATATGAATCAAGCTTTCACTGCAGCATAAGCCTGGACTGCGTAGCCAAGCTGAAAGCAAATCGTGGTCAGAAACTAGCTATTGAAGTACTGACTAATATTTGATTACCGAATACCTTTAGATCTCACACTGTACAATTGCAATTTGCAATGCACCTGTGCACCTCTATAAGAAACTATTGTATTAATTGTATTGCTGCTGCTGCTGTTGCTGCCGCCATTCAGATGCAATGAATATCGTTTTCAATTGCTGAGCGATTTATTAACTATCTTATTAACTAATTGGACAGTTTAAGCCATGTATATCCGAGTACGGCTGCCGCACTTTAATGTGCATTACACAGGCAATAAATTGTACTAGCAATGCGCATAAATAATCGCATAGTGCGAAGAGTTCGCTGTTAAAACATCACAATGAAATGCTTTTGGTATTTCTTTTTTTTTTTGTATTTTTATTTTTACTCATTGTTGCTTGTACTTCATTAAAAAATAATTAAAAACTGTAATCGACGTACAATTTTTGCCTGCCTTTGCGCAATTATTTATGTCCGACATAAAGCAGAAAATTAAATGGCAATAATTTGCTCGTGTCAACTATAAGTGTGCAGTAGATAAATTAATAGCAAACAAGTAAATAAATTTATAATAAAAAAAGACACACATATATACATATACATATATTTAAATTTAACAGTTAAAGTTTGTGTGGGGACGGATAAAGAGAAAATGTGTGAAATCCTTTTTGCTATGTGACAGCTGGCAAAACCCGAATTTCTCAAAAAGCTATAAGAACTGCACAGGCAACAACAACAACATCAATAGCAGCAGCAACTAGAACAACAAAGCACAGAAGAAACGACAAACAACTGTCTCGATTTACGCTCAACGCCTTGGCTACAGTTTTATATGGTAAACAATTACGGTAAGTAATTTATTTCTGCTCAACTGAATTAGAAATCTCTTAGCACTAAGCCAATGCCAAAGCATTTGCAGAGACACTCGCACACTCAGGGGGCGGCTGGCTGGCTGGCTGCTTGCCTGTCTGTCTGTCTGTGTGTGGGTGTGCGTGTGCGTGTCTGTTTATGAAGATACTGTAAGATATGCAGGAAAATTAATAGTACTACATTTTTTACAACACGTTGCGTCTCGTCTACGGGCGCAGCTAGTGCGATAATTCATTGCCATTGCTGCTTCTGCGTTTTCTGCCTGCCACGCACTTCCTGCCAGACAGTCAGTTATCCTCTGACCAGCTACTCTCTAACTACGACCCACCATCTACCACCATCTCTCTCTCTCTCTCTCTCTCTCTCTCACTTTCTGCTCCAGCTATAATCGGCTTAGTCTGCGCTTACGGTTTGCTTTTGGTATTGCCTGCGCATTTGTATGTGCGGCAAATAGTTGCGCCCTCTCACTCACTCCTCCTCTCTCTCTCTCCCTCATTCTCTCTATCTGTGTATTTTTCTGCTTCTTTCAGTCCTGGAACCCTTTCCTTATACACCCCACACACTGTTTGGCTGCCCGAAAGGTGTTAAGTTGTTATTGCATTTTATTTCATTTAGCTGTGAGCCTTTTATACGCTTTCAAAGGCGGAGACTTTTATGACTGCCTTTAGTTATACACGAATAAAAGGTCATGCAGCACTACTTGATGCAAAATAGATGTGAATTCTATATATTGTATGGTATTAAATTACTCTATTAATGCTGACTAGTTCGACTCACATCAATTCAAAAGAAAATCAAGTTCAATCATCATATTTTTAAGAGATTTTTAGCAATATATTAAAATTGCATTTAATTTACATTAATATATGTTTCCAATCGTTGTGGAAGCAGAGTGAATAATATATGATGGTATGCAGATTTATTTGTATATGAGAACTTAGACTTCCACTTGGATATGTTTGTCTCCTAATGGGATAATTAAACATTAAATGATTTACTTAAATCATTTAGATATAAATATATGTATTTTTCTTCCTTTGGCTATAAACATTAAAGTTTTAATACAATATATTATATAAGCAAAATATACTAAATGTACATGGGTATAAGTAGAAACGCCTCAGCGAGCACTTGTATGATTAAAATAACAAACATCCAATTCCAGCTAAATGCTTTAACCTGCTCAAGCATTTGACATTATCTAACGATTTCTTCGACATTTGACGCTTTTACTGTTGTGTCCTACAATTGGAAAATTAAAATCAGTATAAAAGGACGAAACTAGAGCTGATTCAGTTAGTTTTGCATACTTGCCTCAGAATGTTGTGCTTCAAATCGTATAATCGTGCTTTGTTTCTGCTATTAGTTTTCCTGCTGCCCGCTCGGACTCTCCCACATCTTCCAGTTTTAAGGCGTGGCAGCTCACTTCTAAACGATTTCATTCGGCAAGCTCACAAACAGAAACCCATCCAAACATTGTTGGCTATAAAACACCGCACGGATGACGACTGTTTCTTAGATGACTTCAGGCCAACCGAAATTCCCACTCTACTCCTGGACGACTCGAGCAGGATGTATGTGAAGAAGCTCTACAATAGCCAAGCACTAGCTCTGCTTTGTGTGTCCGAAATTGGCGACGTCCTCTCGCTGTCTACACTGGCCCAGAACCTTGATTTAATGAGACATTCACGAATTGTTGTGCTATTGCACAGCCCCGACTCGAATCTGGGCGAATTTCTAAGAATCATATCTGAGCAAGCAACGAGTAAACAATTTGTGAATCTAGTCGTACTGCACTCAAGTTCATCTGAATCGAGAGATTCATCTACTCTCTACCGCATGCATCCCTATCCGAGTCCAACTTTTACACGAGTTACAAACTTTAGTGACGAAAGAATTTTCCTCAACTTCTGGACAGATTTCCAGAGAAAACCGGCTGTTATATTACACGAGCTACGTACACCAGCTAGTTTTATCTCTGTAGACCGACGCACGGGTAAAAAAGAGTTACAGGGTTCTTCAAATACATTTTTGAAGGAGTTCGCAGAAAAACACAATATACAGTTGCAATTATTGAATCCATTCAGTGAGTTGGGAATTGCTAAGACAATGGAGATTTTAACTATGGCTCGAGAAGGTCAGATTGATTTACCTAATAGACCATCTATTTACATAATGGAAAATTTGCAAGATTTTGAATTTGTCAGCACTTACAAATTTACAACATTTTTTTTAGTAGTTCCATGCAGTCAGGAAATGAGTGTACGGCACGTATACCTAGGTTTACGGTCTTACTTCATAATAATCCTGTGCTCTTACATCCTTTTTGAAGTAATTGAAACCCTTATCATATACGCAACAAATTGGATTTATCAGCGCAGAGCAAATATCTCATACTCGAGATTTGTGTTAAACTTGAGGGCATTCGCGGGAATTTTGGGGCTTCCGATGCCCCGGAGAAGATATAGAACAAGCATTTCCTTGCAGCAGATCATAATGCTCATGTGCTTCTGCGGGTTGATCTTCACCGCGTTTTTCAACGCCAATCTCAGTACTCTGCTGACAAAACATCCTTACAATAAAGAAATCAGGAATTTTGATGAGCTGCGGGATAGTGGCCTAGAGGTACTACTAGATGAAAACTTTAAAATTGGCTTAGAGCCTAAATTCAGCGGTGTAGGTTCCCAAAAACTGATATCTAATGTGAAATTTGTGGAAGGTATCAAATTGGAGCAATTGCTATTGAGTTTAGATCCTCGTTATGCCCTACAAGCATATAAGTATATATGGGAAATCATAGTGTATTATCAAAACTCACATAGCATGAATGTACTCTGTAAATGGAATGATTTGAATATCACGGGAGAAATACCGTTGGGATTTATGTTAAAGAAAAACTCGATATATCGAGAAGCTCTAAATGATTATATATCTAGAGCTTTAAGCTACGGATTGGACAAGTACTGGGATTCCATGGCTATGCTAAAATTGATGGAGATGATGCAACCATTTCAAGATCCCAGATTTTCGGCAAACAATGAGGAACACTCAGCTTTACTATTTGAAGACCTATTTTGGTTGTGGAAATTGTTAGGGATATGCCACACTTTGGCAAGCTTGGTTCTTATTGGAGAGCTTACTGTAGCAAGATGGCAAAGAAAGCGAGCTAGAGAGCTAGAGATTATAGAAGTGTAAGCTCTTCAAAAATTCTGAATTATTTACATTATCTTATGCTTGTCGATGTATAAAATGAATATAAACAACTCGTATATGTATTATGTAATTGTAATGCTTAATATCTTAAACTTTTTCACATAAAACTCGAGCACTGTTCAGTAATGGACATTAAGTCATGTTTATTAATAAATATATGTGCCGTTGTACTTAGCAAAACATTATGATTATCTCATTTTTTTATTGGAAGAAAATGTAATTACATTTACTTACTAACATATTAGGAATTTTTAAAGATTTTCTAGTAATCGATCAAGAAGGGTTTGACGGTATAATGCATAGTAGAAAGAAGTAATCCTAAAAACAAAAATTGAGAATAGTCTGCAAATAGGCACAACAATTCACTACAACCCTGACTAAAACTTTTTTCACATATATCTATATGAACATGAATATAGATATATGTATAATCACATTACACATACATATATGTGTGCATACACTTAATACATATTAAATGTAATGCGCGCAAAGGAGTCTAATTCTTTTAAGTGCATAAAAAGTCCTCCATTTGGTTCGTCGTTCGACGCTATCTCACATATCCATTGGCATTTGATGATGTCAAAACGTCGTCGCAATTGTAAACTGCAATTATGAAATGACTTCTAACATTGCAACGCCAGAGTTTCCTCAGTTGATATTTTTGTCTTGCCCAACAATGTTGTGCCTATCATCATATACTCGTGCTATTCTTGTAATTATATTTATCTTGATGCCCGATCAGATTCACGGATTTTATTATATGCGAGATCGTCGAAGCTCTTTCCTAAGCGATCTCCTTAAGAGAGTTCACGAGGAAAGACCCATCGAGACATTGTTGGCAATTAAAAGGCAAACGGATAACGATTGCATCTTAAATGATTTCAATCCATGCGAAATCCCCACTGTACTCCTCGACGCCTCGACCCAGATGAACTTCATAGAGCTCTACAACAGCGAGGCACTTGCTCTGCTTTGTATGTCCGATGTCGCAGACTCCTGGCTGCTATCAACACTGGCCAAGAATTTGAATGGAATGCGAGAGTCTCGTATTGCAGTCTTATTACACAGCTTGGATGTAAGGAATCTAGAGAAGATACTTCGCTTGATTGGCAAGCAAGCAGATAGTAATGTCTTCGTCAATCTAATCGTACTGCACTCAACTTTATCTGAAAAGAATGTTACGTCGACTGTTTATCGCATGCAGCCATTTCCGTATCCCAGCTTTGTCAGGATTACAAAGTTAAGCGATGAACATATATTTCCCACGGTCTGGACCGATTTCCATAGGAAATCGGCTATTATATCACCCGACCTGTTTCCACCGCGCAGTCTCTTGTCTAGAGACCGGCGCACTGGAGAGTTGAAATTGTTTGGTTCCACGGATGTGATGCTGAAAGAGTTTGCCCATAAGTACAACATAAATTTACTGTTAGCTCGGCCTTTGAAACAATTGGCTGAAATTGAAAAACTCGAAACCTATACAATGTTACATGATAAAGTCGATATGCCCAGACGACCCACTATATTAACTTTAGAAGAAATAGCCGATTATGAATTGTCTCCTGATTCGCGATTTACAGAATTCTTTCTTTTAGTTCCCTGTAGCCAGGAGATAAGCATAGGTGATGTATACTCGGGGCTAAGAACCTATTCCATAATTCTTTTAAGCACATATTTTATGTTCACAATAGTTGAAACATTTGTCGTATTAGCTACAAATTGGATTTACGAACGCAGAGCCAATGCTCCAGAATGGAACTTCGTCTTTAACCTGCGGGCATTTGCTGGAGTCTTGGGTCTTCCAATGTACCTGAGGAAATATCGAACGGGCGTTTCGCTGCAGCAACTGGTCATGTTTCTGTGCATCTTTAGCTTGGTTTTCAACTGCTTTTTCAATTCCAACTTCAGCACGCTGCTGATAAAGCATCCACACAACACACAAATCCAGAACTTTGAGCAACTGCGAGACAGCGGCTTGGATGTAATTTTAGAAATGACCTTTAAGCCTCTATTCGAAAAGTCTGCTGAGAATGTGGGACTCTATAAAATAGTGCCCAATGCCAAGTTCGTGACAATGAAGAGATATTACGATCTATTGCTGACTTTCAACTCCAGCTATGCACTGCAAACGTACAACTATATATGGGAGTTCTTGGACAGCTATCAAAAGGCTCATAGCCGTAAAGTACTTTGTAGCGCCAATGCCATGAATCTGACTGGCAGTCTATTATTTGGCTACAAGTTAAAGAAAAACTTTGTGTTTCGCGAGGCGATTCGCGATTTTTTATCTAGAGCATTCAGCTACGGGCTGGACCAGCACTGGGACGTTAAGGCTGGCCGCAAAATGATAGAGATGCTGGTGCCCGTTTTGGATCAAAGGCTGCCAGCAAGCGATCCGGAACCCTCAGCTCTAAGCTTTGAGGACTTGGAATGGTTATGGAAATTGCTGGGGGTGTGCTACGGCCTGGCGAGCTTGGTACTCATTGGAGAGGTCTGTGTGGCAAGATGGCAGGCAAAAAAAGCTAGAAAGGTGTATGTTATGGAGGTTTAAGAACTAAAATTAAATATTCTCAATATTGATGTAATAATATAGAGATGAGACTTCTTTATAAAGATTTTGTTAGCACAAAAAAATTATTTAAATAAATTCAGAAAAATAAAGAAATAAATATGAGAACATTTAGATAATATTTATTTAGTTGGTGAAACATTCTTTAAAAAATTATTTAAGTATCACATTTTTGGCTAATGAGTTTCTTTACTTGGTAAATAGTTCTTGAGAATATAGCAGCAGCATTTGTCAAATTTAAAAGAGTAATTTGTTGTCAATTAAAGAATCATCTTGATTTGATTGCTTGACATTAATTTGAAGAAGGTATCTTAAAGCCAGCAGCTCTGGGCAGCAGCCTAGGCAATGGCCTTCTGGGCTTCGCAACATTTGTCATAGTTATAGTTATAGATTTAAATGTGTCAACGCTGCATGCAGGACGCTAGCTGCCACAATGCGCCCCATAGTCACAGTCACAGTTCCTGTCCCTATGCTTGACCCTTTCCCTGTCCCTATCCCTGCTTCAGATGCATCTGCTGCCGGTGCTGCTTGAAAAGCCATAACTCATGGACAAAGCACTCGAGTGTTGGCTTCGCATTGGTCACATAACTGTCACTGCATGTGGCATGAATGTGTTGCAATTGTGTTGAAATTGGGCCGCAAATAAACACGTCACAAACGGCTGGCATTGCAATCAAGTGTAGCCGCCTGCAAGTATGCAACATTCACGATTCAATTACAAGCTACAAACACACACATGTACCAACAAACAAAAAAAAACCTATTGCACACAGAATATCTATTAATGCTCCATATACATATATATAGGGAGAGTGAGCTGGGGCCTTAAGCTTGCTACAAATATTCAATGTGTGCACACAATTCAATGCCAAATGGGATTTTGGGCTAACAGCAGCAGCAACAATGCAAACAACAACAACAACAACGAGAGCGAGAACTGGAACTGGAGAAAATCGACTAAACTTTATGTGCATGTTAGGAAAAGTGCTGGAAAACAGCAGCCAAGCAGCAGGCAGTGCCAGCACACGGAAGTGAAAACGTTTTACACTCCAATTGCTCTATCTATGTTGGACCACTGCCTCTTGCCACACACACACACACACACACCCTGCCACACTGCCACAATTTTTGTAAAAAGTTTACGTTGCGACAGGCGGCACATAAAATAGTTTTAAATAAGAAAGGCGAAGGCAAATAAACAATTCTATTTTTCTTGCTGGCCAGTGGCTGCGGCGCACGGGGCGTGTTGCTCAACATTTTTATTTTGGGGCGTGGCAAGGACAGTGTGTGCGTGTGTGTGCAATAAATGTAAGGCTGCTGGGCGCATGAAACTGAAAATTTCATGTAGCATACTTTGCGGCAACAGCCGCCTGCATTGGCACACTAACACACAGCGCATAGTTCATGTGTGTGTGTGTGTGTGTAACGCGGTTTCCGTTTAGTTGGCCGTGTGAACTGTTTACACACACACTCATACACACATAGGAAGGCTTTTCAAAGCCATTTAAGTCCATTTAAAGCTTTTATTATATATATGCTCATAGCGCCTGCTGACATTGTAAATCACCCACACACACACACACACACACACACACACAGAGACACAGCAATGCTCAGTTGATTTAAATTTAAATGCGCGTGTTGTAATTAAAATTGACTTTCCCACATTGGGCCTTTTGTTTTTGCCCAGTGCGCAGCGCGCAATGCGAAATGCGAAATGCCAAAAATTATGCAACACATGCGAAAGTGCGAGCAGCTGTTGACATATTCCGCCAGCGGCCATTTTGTAGCCAACACCGGCAGCCGCCGCCGCCGCCGCCACACTGTCATTATCTGCCAGAGCGAGAGGTAATCAAAAAGAGTGAGAGAGAGTGCAGGCTGGCCAACAACGAACTGCCATTGAGATGTGCAATGTTAACGGCTCAGAGCACACAAATCGAGTATTGGTGCACAAAAAAACGGCTAAAGCTCGCATTCCGTTCGGCTTATGACAACATTTTAATATAATGTCAAACATTGTTTGCGCACTGCCATATTCAATTTCGTGGCCCATAATGAAAGCATTGCCACAGCACAAGAATTCGGCACGGTTATCCAATGCATTTATTTTCCATTTTTTTTTTTCTTATTATTATTTATTAATTTTTTGTTTGCGTTTTTATATCCACAAAATGGTTTATTAGAGCTACGCCGGCATAGCTGTTGCTGAATTGTTGTGGTTGTTGTCCATGCTGGCCACTCTTTAAAAGAAGAAAAAATTGTATATACAAAAAAAAAAATAAATAAAATATATATATATATATATATATATATATATATAGAATACAAATAAAATTGAGATACAGCGCAAAATGGGAGCGTTTGCGACAGGCTGCCATTTGCATTGGTCCATGGATGCTTTGCTATGGATGCTAGGCATAAATTCTATTATAAATAACATTTAGCGTACGCGAGTTTGGCAACTGTCAGCAATGAAAATTGGAAAATATATGTACACACATACACATCTATATATATATGTACATTTATACACCCATATACATATATTCATATTATCGTCGGAATATGCAGACTGAAGCCAATACAAATTGCGGTTTCTAGATTGAAAATAGTACGAGTTTTTGCTATATACATATACATATGCGCGTGTGCCTGTGTGTGTATGTGTGTGTATCTTTTTGTGTGCATCTGACGCATAATCAGATTCCAAAATTAAATTTGCGGTTGCGTGGCGGCCAAGCTAGGCTGAAACAATTATTAAGTGCTTCTGACATGGTCATTGTTAGCATTGAATTAAGCCAAATAGCTACTTAAAAAGGCTAAATAAACAGCGTGAATTTTATGGAAAACGTGCATACACAATTTCTATTAAGCACACATAAGTTTTAGTATATATGTATATCACTAAGCACACATATGTTCTGGAAAGTTTTGTTAGAGCAGTCTTGGAGCTTGTTAATTGTATAATTGGACTTCGAGTTGGCTCAACTCTCGAATTTCTCCAAAGAGGCCGCGCTCAATCAGCATAATGAAATGGACGTGCCTGTTCAATTAACTGGCCGCTGCAACAATAACAAGCGATAGTTAAGGTTTAATAAACTGTTTGAGCGCGCGTATTACGCACATTACGCATCCGCCACGTGTGACACTACATATGTGTGAGTGGGCGTGTGTGTGTGTGTGTGTGTGGGGGTGAGCCATGCAAATTAATCAAATTAGCATCGTTAAGCCACGGCGTGCGACTTGTAATTGACTTCAAGCATGTTAACCACAAGATATCATATTTACTTAGCACTCTACATAGCGGGAGAGAGAGAGTGAGAGAGAGAGAGGGTGGGAGGGTAAAAGTCTATAAAATTTAACACTCATTATTTATATTGCGAATCGGCGCCTTCTTTAAGATAAATGAACACGCTATATATTTTCTCTAGTTGGGCCGTGCCAAGCAAAACATCAAATGCTTCTTGGAATGGAAAAGGCCATAAAAACTCAAGTTGTTTTGAGATTAAATTAGTTCCATGTATTTACGAATTGGCTGCTGGACCAGGCACCAGCACCAGGCCAGCAGCATCAGCACCAGCTGTGCGCATTAATTATTTGTTTTGCAAATAATTTAGTTTTTTTTTTTCTTGCTTTCAATTATCCATTAGCAATTGCTTGCAGCTTGCTGATAGACATTAGACAAATTAAATGTGTTCAATGAGAACGTTCAATAAAAATCTGTTAAACAGTAGCCATAAAATGGAACCATGACATTAATAAAGCTTTAATAATAATAGTTTATAATTTTATTATGTCACATGCTCGACATCTGTTGAGATTATTAAATTGGAGCCAGAAATCAATTAGCAAATGCAATTAACAATAATTGTTATTCGCTGTCAACTTAGCGAATGTCCGCCCAGCACTTTCTCTATCTTGTCAATCGACCCGGGATAAGCATTTCAAATTGTGTTACATGTCCACATGTCAAGAATAAACTCGCCTCAATTCCAATAATTTTTAAATGAATTGCTTTGCTGAGCTTTTAACTTATCGTCGAATAGTTGTTGGTCAGTGCCTCCCTTTAACTTGGCCCAGAATGTATTCGTTTATATCTGATCTACTTCTGGTGCTCCTGCTGGCAGTTTGTCAACACTCAGTTGAGACTGGACGGTCAGAAATCAGCTATATCCACAGCATAATAGAGCAAGCTCACCTGGAAAGACCCATTGATGTATGTGAACCGTCGAGAAGACTGGGTTGAAAATGATGTCGAATCTAGTTTCTGGTTTACCGAAAGCACTTGAAAAAGATGATGTTGAGTTTAAGCCGAATCCCTTAAATTTCATGGACTTATTGTGGCTGTGGAAATCGCTAGGGGTATGCCACGCTGTGGCAGGTTTAGTTTTCATTGCAGAAATTTGAGTAGCCTATTGGCGGAAGAAACTGGCTAGAAAGGAAGTCAATATAAGAGAATTCGCAATATAAAATTTGGAGTATATAAACTTTTTATGAATTATAAATTGTTCTTAATTATATTGTATTAAATGTTCGCACAAAAAATGTTGAAGTCTGTTTAAAAATAAATTCATTTTATTTTATAGCTGAAAATTCTTGTAAGTTCAGTTGACTATAAAATAAAACTCCCACTTAAGCAGAGGCTTCCACTCTGAACTGATCGACTCGAAGATACGCTGATCTCTGCTCTCATATTTTCATCATCCTATGCTTCTATTGATTTTCAGTGCATTTGGCTGGATCCATAATCTATGAGTTAACAAAAAACCTACATTTATATTAAGTAATCGATTTTTATCGATCCCAAGGAAATGATATAGATATCGAAAAACTATTAAAAGGCATATGCATTTAGTCTTTAATAATAATATATGTACATACATATACATATATACTGTTCAATGGTTCAGGGTATTAAAATTGCACTTTACTACTAATCTAATTCAATTGCGTTGACAATTCACAGTTTGCCCGTCGAGCATTTAGTTAAGCAATCAATCAGCTCTTGTTTGACATAGCGCATAATGGCGGAAAATTCAGATCCGATATCAGTTTATACCATTAACTTAATCAAATCAATGGTTCAATGCTGCCATTTCAACTGGACTATAAAGTTAGATGCAGTTCAGTTTGTACTTTTAACGTGGCGCAGAATGTTGGCGTTTCGTTCGTATACATTTTGTGCGCTTCTGCTGCTGCTTCGACCTGGCTACTTGAAGGCTTCGCCGCTCATTGAGTTGGTCGCATCATCACACAGCAGCTTCATCCACAATGTCATAGAGAAAGTGTTCAGGGAAAGACAAGTAGAGACACTTCTGTATATGAACCGTCGACAGAACTTCAATTGTCCTTCGAAGGAAGTCACTATAGATGGATTGGCTACTCTGCGCTTGGATGAGAAAACCTTTATCAACGTAAAGGGGACCTTCAATAATGAAGTTCTCTGCCTGGTCTGTATGACTGAGATGACAGATGTCCTGCTGCTGCACACCCTGGCCCAGAACCTTGAAGGAATGAGAGGCGCACGTATCATAATTCTGCTGCAGACTAAGTCATCCAATCTTCAAGATGATTTCGCTATAATCGGTGAACAGGCCAATAATTACAATTTTGTCAGTCTGATCGTGTTGCACTCTACTTCATTCGATGACAAAGAGCCGATTGTCGCATATCGTCTTCAGCCGTTCCCCAGTCCAAGTTTTGCAACTATTAGCAATATAAATAATGAACAGATTTTTCCGAAAGTGGGGCGTGACTTCAAAGGAAAAACGGCTCTCATTTTACCCGATCTGCTCCCTATTCGTAGCATGATGACAATCAACCCTCGCACTGGAGAGAAATCTCTTAGTGGATTTTCAGATAGACTAATTATGGAGTTTGCCAAGAAAAACAACATCAAACTTCGTCACCTGAAAGCTGTGGGTGATTCTGAGTATGTTGAAATCGTCGATGTTCGTAGAATAACCAGCGAAGGTATTCTTGATTTGCCAATCCGAAGTCTAATACATCCACCGAATCCTGGTTCCAATTTAGAATATGTAGATGTACAAATCGAGCTCACGAGCATATTTATTGTGGTTCCCTGTAGACATAGAATTAAAATAGACGATGCCTTCTTAGGCTTGAGGAAATACTTTAAAATGCTTATAGGATCATATTTTATATTCAATATATATGAAACTCTGATCAAGTTCGGTTCAAATTGGATTCTCCGACGCAGACCCAATAACCAATACTTGAACTTAGTCTTAAACTTGCGGGCATTTGCTGGAGTTTTGGGATTTCCGATGTACCTGAGGCGGTATAGGAGTAGATATAGCAGTATTTCACTGCAGCAGATCACAATGCTGTTATGCATTTGCGGCTTAGTCTTCACCTCTTATTTCAATGCCAATCTCAGTACTCTGATGACAAAGCAGCCGAATGATGCAAAATTTAAGACATTCGAGCAGCTAAGGAAGAGTGGATTAGATGTAATATTCGATAAGAGCATTTATTTTGACCTAACTTATGGCAATTCAAATATTTCTTTAAGAAATCTAGTACGGAATGTTAAAATTGTTCCCATAAATGAATATGTACGTCTACTTTTAACCCTAAATTCTAGCTGTGCATATAATATGCATTCAAGTATGTGGAGGGTTGTAAATATGTATCAGAGGAGCTACAAGCGAAATAGGATATGCAATTCCGATGGATTAACTCTAATGAAGAATGTTCCTCTCAGATATGTGTTCAAGAGAAACTCAATTTATAGGGAGGCGTATACGAATTTTGTTCAAGATACTCTTACTTACGGATTGCTCAGGCACTGGAAATTGCAAGCTGGTATTAAAATGATGTCGACCCTGCATTCACGCGGGCCGCAAACTGGACTAAAAGGAAAGCCTGTGCCCCTACAACTCAGGGACTTTATGTGGCTATGGAAGATGCTCGGGCTATGCTACTTTATGGCAGGCTTAGTTTTCATTGCTGAAATTTGTGTGGCCCATTGGCACAGGAAGCAGCAGATGAGAAGGCCAGTAATTAATTAGAGCATTCGTATTGTATATTTATGTTATATATCCACACTTAATATATCACAAACTAAAATTGCAATAGGTCGTCTCTTTCTCTCTCCTTTTGTTGTCTGAGACTTGGAGAGTATAACATTCGTATAACAGAAATGGGCAATTGACACTTTCGAAACTCGATGTATCTGTAGACTAAGTATGAATATGATTGACGCTAGACCACAGAGGAGTCATTAAATATAGTTCTAAGACTGTTTAGCACATTGTCAAATAAATTGTTTGTTTATATGGTAATACATATGTTATTATCATAAGCATGTGTAAGAGTGGAAAAGTCGGTCTCCCACAGGCTCTCTTTGTGGTTGCTTACTGCAGCTGATATAAAACATTGTTAATCTAAAACCAAAAGGGAGCAGTTGAATTTTCTGTTGCAATTCACTGAATAAAAAAGATAAAAATTACAGCTTGAACATTTTACAGTTTATATGTTGGTTCGCAAAAGTAGAAGTTGAAGAATTATATGTCGAAATAAACATCATAATAAATGAATTAATTAAATTTCAGTATAAAGATATTTACTTACTTTCATTCTCTATTCACTACAGCAATATGCACTTCAAATTCAACATTTTTAAATGTAACGCTTAAAGTCTTCTTTGAGCTAAGTATTATCAATCTATATAATCTATTTAAGGCAGTTGAGTCAGTTGTCCTATTAATGAAAAGCCGAAAAGCAAAGTAATAAATAACTCAGCTGATCTTAAGCTAAATAATACATTCAAATATATTTATAATTCATATATATCTATTTTATTTAAATAAATTTTCTAATATATTATATTTAGCATATATTGAAGACATTTCTAGCACAATCCAAATGCCAGAATCTGCGGCCTATCGATAGGCGATTGTTGCTAATACGAATTTCAGTTGCACGACAAACATTTTCACGTCGCCGCGCAGCGGATTTTCAGTCGTGAAAAGTTGTCTGCGCCGCTTGGTCTGTGCGCCGAATGCTTATTGTGGGCTGCGGTTAAAATGTGTTTGCCGTGTTCATTTTTCATTCGTTGCGCATACGCCACATGCGCCGCGCGTCTTGTGAGCGCTTAACAAGTGTTTTCCGTCTTCCAAGTGACAAATTCAAGTCAAATGGGCAATCAATTTTGTAAAACTGACTAAACAAATACACACATTATGTAAATAGCAAAGAAAAGTGTATCTAATGCGTCTGTTGTGAAGTGTAAAGTGTCGTAGATAAGAGTTCACAGTGCGTGTGGACTGTTTGTAACTAAACGCACAAATAATCTAGATAAAACTCAACTGGTGTTGGGAGTGCACCCGTAGGTGGTTTATAAATAATATAACTAACAATTAATTAACATTAGCTTATCAACAGATTAGGTACGGCAAACGCACAATTAATTTGCTCAACACCTTGTCGCATGTCGCAATATTTCATGCGCTGTCACACGCTTTAAACGTTTGAATAGTTTTTCCTCCGGTTTTATTGTCGTCTGCGATGGCTCGCAAAGCTGTTTTATGCGCCTTCATAATTTAGAAAACAATTTTGATCGGTCGAGCACATGATACAGATACACACACATACATACTATATAGCAGATTCTGTATGTGAGGAGCGGAGCAGTAGGAATTGTTTATGAAAATCACAGAAAGCTTAACGCAAAATCAAAAAGCAAAACATTAACCCACACACGCCGACGAATCGGTCATGGAACGGCTCGACTCTGTTCTGGGATCAGTCAATGTCAGTTGGCTGGCTGCCAGCCGAGGGACGCGCGGGGCATGCAGCCGAATGGAAAGAAAGAAAAAAGGAAAAGTGTGCGACGACATGTTCATGCAGTCGAGTGGATTGGAAAATTTTAGATGCGCTACACTCGCCTCGAAAAGTTGCTCAACAACAACAAAGCAAATTTTCCAAGCACATTTTCAATTGTTCCATTTCAGATGTCAAGTATCAAGTGGCATAGATATAAATACTTATATCTGCCATATATACTTAGATATTGAAAACATATGTTGCCTGGCATATTTTATCTATTATTTAAATTATTTACTATTTATTTATACTCATGGCATTGGCCCAAGTGCAGAATTTATGGCTGTCATTTCTGTTCGGAAAACTTTTCAAGTTTATGCTTAAATCTCTGCTGGAATTGTGCAATAATTGGCAATGATATGCGTCGACATACTATGTAAATATCTGAAATTGGCGAAGGCTGTATACTTGAACGAGTTTTAAATGGGGCTATGAGGAGTGGACTGCCTTTTGATATTATTTTTTATAGAGTTCTGTCTCTGAGATGTTACATCGGAATATAGCTATCAAATATTTGTCTTGTTTGTTAGTGTATAGAGAGAGGGGGCATTATACATACATGTATGTATATGAAGAATTATTCCAAGCTATAATATTTGTTTTATTTAACTACCCATTCAGGAAAGTGAAATGAGTATATTGGTTTTTTGCAATGTCCGTCTTGCTGTTCGTGCCTCTGTCCATATCAACACAAGGAATTTCGCTGCTATTGAAGTTAAAAAGATTGGAGTTAGGTAAATATGGAATATCAGTGGATAAAATGATAAGATTTTCCCGATTTCCCCCCCTAAAAGTGGAGTTAGAAATCGGAAAATTCTAGAGATTAGATTATATGCACGCGTTAACTGGAATATATACTCGCATTGATCAGTCAAAATGATATCAAAATGATATTGCCGATCTCTTCTACGCCAACTGTGGGCGGGGCAAATCAATTCCGAGTGTAGCAAAAAATTTATATCTTTCTAGCTGAACTGTGTTATGGCTGTTAATGAGTATTCTGCAGTCGTTAGCATCCGACCGCAACTATTCTCTTAATAATATAAAAGTTCATAACTTTTGTTGAGTTAACTTGAAGTTATTCCTTATTCGGTAAGATTTCCTACTGACAAGCTGCTTCAACTGTCTGAGTGAGCTTCGTGCTATGCGTTGCATATAATACTCTGTTCTTATCGATAATAGACTAACTTAAATCAGTCAGTCTTTGATTATCTGCAACACTGCATTCCAGTAAAAATATGTTTGCTGCCAAGACTAACTGAGACTGGGTCCATGAACTTAAGGCAGCAATACAAGATGTCGAAAGCGTTGCAACTAGGGCAGCGATAAGCCTCAAGCATCGCCTGACCTTGCCGTTGGAAAGCTTTGAGTGGTATCATTGCACTTGACTTAAGTAATATGATTCTGCTGTTACTTCATCTGAAAAGCACTGAAAGAAGTAGGATTAGTGGCTCAATCGTTCTATCAATATACGTGCATCTATTGGAGTATTGTCAGTATAGAGCTGTATATCTAATATTTCAATCAAAACAGTTTGCTCTCATCATTTCGCTTTTTCTCATCTATATTTCGCATTTCCTATCGATCCAAATTAAATGCTCAATAGCTCATGCAATTTATCAGAGATTCGCATCTATTCATTACTTGCATGCATTATAATAATATAGCGAGGTTAACACAAACATTTATTATGCTTATGGATATGAAATGTATATAGTATTTATTTTGTTTATAGCTGAATTGATCGAATCCGATTTGGTTTTCTTACTGCATCATTTCCGTTTGTGGGTTTTTGCTTATCTTTCAATTTGCTGCCAAAACGCAAAGCTCAAGCTTCGCGTCCTCGCCCCCTACCACTCCATATCTCTCTCTCTCTCTCTCTCTCTCTCCCTTACTATGGCATCGATTGACGTTTTCCAAATTTTCGTGCAATTTGCATATATTTTTAGCTTTTATCTATTTTGAAAATAAATGAATTTCAATGGAAGCAAAATACGCGCAAATTGCGCCGCAAAAGTTAGCGAAAATCTCTGTGCCCCATCAATTAGTGGCACAATCAAATGCAACACGCCAGCTTGTTGCCGCTGTGGCATCCACTTACAAAACACACGCTGCCTTTTCAGCTGCTTTCGCCTCATTGATGATGACGTCAATGTGCGCGTCGTGGCCCTACAATACGCCTGCTTTGTAGT